GTGTACGTTGAGTTATTGTTGTATGCAGACTGTACATTGAATTACTATTTGTATTGGTAAAATCATTGTGTGGTGAAGTGTGTATATTTTGCAGAGGATTTTCGTCGGATAGATTGCCGTTTCTTATTTATTCTGTCTTATATCATCAGTGCATTTTCTATTGATGTCTGTGAGGTAATCCATCTTCGACATAAAAGGTAACACACAACGCTCTTGTAGTATTCTTTGTGTGAAATGAACAGTAGTGTTCATTGATTGCAGTAGTCTCAGGTAGATTGTTAACTGTATTACGAATTTCATGTTATTATGAAGTGTGAAGTTTTTTATCTGAACGGTTTTCATCATTTTGCATACAGTACATATTACACATACACATATACACATATTACAGTGCGTAAAGTGTACGAATGGGAAAAGTTCATAAGCTTGAAATTCTGTAAATTTATGTATCTTTTTTAAACTAACATAAAACCTCATTAAATCCTAATTATAAATAAGAAAATCAGATTTCTGTCTTTTTTTTATAGAATAGGGTGACAAACGAGCACACAGTTCACCTGATGGTAAGTGGTTGCTGCGGCCCATAGACATCTACATCTATCCTTCATTAAAAATCAAAATGCAGATGCGTTGTCACCCGTGAGGACTGAGATGGAATGCCTCGTTTCCAGTAAAAAGGGTCTCCGGTTCTCTACACTCACCATACGAAATACAGCAGCATTAAGCTACTATTTCACGCTGGTATTCTGTGAGAGCGTGGTCCTTCTCCGGTCGAGCCGACCCATTCGTGCTACAACTATAGATCCTACTAATATAACTGCAGCATGGCTCTACCACGTTAGTCTGTTTAATTCTTTTAACTCTTATTTATTTATCGTGACCTAAGGCTCCTTTAGGGTAGGTTTTGCCTCATCATTAAGCTTGGCAAGCAATGGCAATGCCAGACGTCACTCACCTTTGAATCTGTGGCTCGTCGCCGCTCTGCGTATATAAAGTCTGACGTAAACGATATTTTTGTACTGCCATCTATCGGAAACCATAAGAATTTTTTTGAATTTCCAATAGATTTCCAATGGATTCCCTTACGTCGCCACCATACGGTAACTGAACTGTCCATTTACTTAAATTAACATTGCTTCAATAAAACGTGTTTCTCACTTCAAGGTAATTATGCATTCTAGCATTCAACCTGTTCATATAAGCCCGCGCGATTCTAGACTCTGTCACACCCATCAGCCTACGCATTAACAGCGAAAGTTGAATGCAAATAATTTAAAGTGTCTGACTATTACTCATTGTTCTATCACCAAACGTACGCTCTGCTGCGGTCATGACTCTCAATTCGCCACGTCTACTCATAAATCGATTTCATATACAGTTACACGAATTTCGATGTCGAAAGATCGAATCGATTGTTCTTTTTCTCAGAATGCTACACTTGTTGAGGTCAATTGAATGAGACAAATAAAAGTGTTTCGATATCGCAATCACTCGCGTTATATACGGCAGCATTTCGCAAACGTTAATAAAAAAATTGCTTCCAAAAATGCTCTATATATTACGTAAAAAATATCTTTCGTGAAATATATGGTACTTACAATTTATAGATATTTGATAATGACATGAAATTACATTTGAATGCCATTTTAAGTTGATCGAGGATGCAAACTGTTTAAGTAGTTTAAGTTTCAGCCAGAGAGAAGATCTTGGCAAGGGAGAACTAACTGCAGAGTCTTATACGGCGGTTATACCGTCAGTATTTCACGACGTTCAGTATTTCGTCAGTTCAGTCCGTTACTCTGGTCAGAATGACCGCACAATTATCGTCTAACCCACGGACTGACGGACTGATGGTCAGGACTGATAAAAATTAAATATTTTAGATAATTTTCGTCAGTCAATTGTGAACGATGAAATACTGATGCGAGACTGATCGTGTAACCGCCGACTTAGGAGGAAAGGGAAAGAAATCGACGGACGATGCGGGCGATGTGGAGGAGCACCGCCTTCTGCTATTGAGCCCGGAGGGGTCCGTCATGAGTATTAATATTAGCACTCTTGTTATTATAATATTTTCTGCCCCGTTTAAACTAATATACATACACATACATAAATAATAAACTTCCTATTCTTCTCAAGTGATATCTGCGTACAAAAATTGCCCAGAAGGACATCATTATATCTGTTTCTGTATAGAATTCCACCTGGATTACTACCACCATTTTTGAAGTAGGACCACGCTCTCAAAGAATAAAAGTAAAGTAAAGTAAAGTTACAGCTTATATACGTCCCACTGCTGGGCTCAGGCCTCCCCTCATTTCTGAGAGGGTTTAGGGCAAGGAAGTGTCCGCTGCGCTGCCCAAATGCGTGTTGACGAACTTCACATGTCTTCGAAATATATTTTTTTCTTATTCCTCAGACATGCAGGTTTCCTCACGATGTTTTCCTTCACCGCCGAGCACGTGGTAAATCAGCACTTAAAATTGCAATTAACAATTTCATTGGTGCCGGCGGGGATCGAACCCGGGTTACTCGCGTTCTGTTATATTTACAGTGAGCGTTAACCACTGAGCTACCACGGCTCTCAAAGAATACCAGCGTAAAATAGCAGATATTCACAATGGTGAGTATGGAGATCCGGATACCCTTTTTACTGAAAACGAGTTTTTTCATCTTAGTCCTCAGGGGCGACAACGCATCTGCATTTTGATTCTTAATCGATGATAAATGTAGATGTCTATGAGCCACAGCATCCACTTACTACTAGGTGGACTGTGTGCTGGTTTGTCACCCTTATTCTATAAAAAAATATCATAATTTCACTAAAATTAAAAAGGATTTTTTGCTACCCCCCTCCAGTTTCACGATTAGTTAAACTAATCTTGCTGTGTCTCGCAACGCCTGACCATCAAAATTATGTTTTACTGAGTCATGTAGGAGACCGGTTCCCACACCTATTTTCTCTGCCCACACGCTTTCAGATCGTTCTAGTTAAAGTTGACATCGTTTTACGTAAGGGTTGTTTGTTTTGTATTTTTTGTTTAAGTTACAAACGTATTTATAGTTATTTATTGATTGTCTCTGTAAAAACTATTGTCAGTTTATTTCCTCTTTGATTTCTTCCCAGGCGTTTTGTGTCGTATACGGAAAACACTAGTATATCGTAGACGCTAGTGGCGAACAGGTGATAGTGTAATTCAGAAAGTATATAAAGTACGATAAGTGTTTGTTTTCGAGTTGTGATCGTCATTTGCGTGGTGGCCATGTGAGAATAGAAGGCAGTTTACGGCCTGATGATGATGGTGACAACGGAAAGATATTTTACTCCAATTTCTTAAGAATTGTCAAATTATTTTAAAGAGGAAGAATATAAATTAAAACAAGGAAATAAATTATTAGTATTTTCATAAATAAATTAGTATTTAAAAGATATCTATATGTACTAAGGTTTGGGAATTCCCGACAATTTCAAAGCCCCGAGACACGAGATAGCTAACAATCAAAGTCCCGGGAATTCCCGGGACTTCGAGACTTTTGAAGAATTTAAATTGAGACATTTTCTAATGAAACATATTAAAAAGGCATGTTTTTGTAAAAATTAACATTTATTAAATAGAAAATTAAATCTTAATAAGTTTAAAGTTAATTTCAGTCTTAATAATTGCTTTGTTTATTTCTTTTAATCACACACTAATTTAATCTCCACATACGTTAAGTTATTCTAATTTATTAAGTGCCCGGCGCTTAGCAAAACCGTTGTGTGGAAACCTATAACTGAGTACAGCGAGGTGCAGCGTAGAGAACTCTTCCTTGCCCTAAAACCGCCACTTTCAAACAGCTAAATCTTATAGTTATAAAACGATCTTAGCTAAAAACATACTAATTTTAATAACGTTAAACAACAACTACTACAAACGCATTTGTTGTGTTGTGTACTCAGTAGTTACGTAGAACTAAGACCAAGTAATTACTTATTAACCCAACAGATGGTGCCAGGCGCCTTCAATTATTTGAAAATAGACATGATTACATAACAATTTCGACAATCTTGTCTCGTCTCAAGTCTCGACCTCAAAATCCCGGGACTCGAGACAAGTAAAATTACGAAAGTCCCAAACCCTAATATGTACTCAAATATAAGCATTTTTAAATCTACTGCTGGACGTAAACCTTTTCGAGAGTGTGCTACTTGGTATTCGTAGGTGAAAGCCAAGCCAATATCTTGACAATAAACTATAAAAAATAAAGTTGATTCGATGAAGATTATAATCATAACTTTAAAAAAATATTTATTAGCTGTTTCTACTTCAAGAAATCCACTTGCTTATTTTTTGTGTTCTCGATTTATTTTTTTATTCCTATTAACTATTATAGTTTACTTGTCCTGTTTATTCCTCACCACTTTTGTAAATATATTATACTAAATTATCTATGCTAACCAAAGCGATGCTATTGATCACATATGGAATAGGTCAGTTGTCTTCCTCGCGAAATGAACAATGCACTAACGACCTTAAACAAATATTTTAATTGGGATCGCTAATTGCTGAGTTAACTCCATTGTATTGTTTGCGATTCCTTCTCACAATCGCCATTGTCATTAGACAATATTGGGAGTCGACCTTACACAGCCAAGATCTAACGTCCTTTGTCCGAGGTTATTTAGAAAGTCAGTCATTCTTTCATTCCATCGGGTTGTGACTCTTTTCACCTCTTCCTACAGTAGGTAGTATTTAACAATCTCTTTCCTAGTATACAATTATTAAGTTTTTTTTTTACTTTTTATTTCTTATGTCATTTCTGGCTGCCGCATTTTACCGTGCCGGCACCATTTGCCTTAACATTTTTTTATGATTAATTAATTTATCATTCGCGTACGTTACATTACCTTCACTTGTTAGCATTACGTACGACCGTTAATCATTACGTCGATAATGTCGATTATTACATGCTTTGTTGCGTAACTCTACGATAATAATTTATTTTTCTTCTTTTTACAGATGGCCAGTTGGCACAGATAGTGTAAGGAATGAGAATACATCGGAGTTATCATCGCTGCGTAAGTATTCTTATTTTATTACAAATATTTATAGTATGATAAAAGTTAAAGTGATTTTTAAATTATCGTTATGTTTGTATGTTGGCCAGGATACGAAATAATATCTGATGTCGGTAAAGCAAACAGTTGAACAAATTTTGATAGACTAATTAATGAGTTTTCTTAGAACTTAGGCTTAGATCAGCACAAAATAAAGAGATCATCTATTACGTAGCCAATTTAAAATCCTCGAAAAGTGCAGCAAATTTGCCACTGCGGTTTACGAACAGGACATATTTTGATTTTGTTTACAAATAATAATTGTTCCTAGTGTGGAAGCTTGTGCAACTGCAATTTATTTCAGTGTAGTAGGGGTACCATTTTTTTTAAAGAAAAGTATAAAGTAAATAAAAATACCCATACCGGTGACAGGTAGTAGCGAAAGGTGCGAAATGTCTGATATTGCGATCGTCTATCCACTTGCCAAGAATAAGGATAAGGTAAATCCTCCCTATACAGGGAGAGGCTGATGTCTAGAAGTGGAATTTCACGAGCTGATGAAGAAGAAGCAAATGCCGCCATTTATAAGCTATCTAGGACACATTCGGATCGTGTCATTTAAAAACAGGGGGCCCTGGCATTTAAATGGTGAAATAGTTAATTAATTACCCTTCCACTTTTTTATGTTAAATTACTTAGAATATTTTCTTTTGTTATAACTTATTCAATGTATAAAATATTCAACGTTTATTTAGACATTGAATATTATGTAAATTCAAATCACTTTGTTAAAACTTTGACGATAACGATTCGTCGTCTAAGTTTGAAAAAAAAAACATACGAAATACGTCCATAAAATTGATAACTTATGTAAATTTCTTTAAAATTAGGCATGAGTGTTACGAATACTTGTATAAATATTAAATCCAGTTCGACGACTTTGTAACCTAATAAATTCAGTGGTTTCCTACACAACAAATCTTAGTGTAACCTTATTTCAACTTAACTAAGTTGTTTAAGTATCTTATGCAAATTATATTACTTACCCGTAATAAAAGTTATCTGTTATGCAACACTGTTTATGGATTGAACACTTACAATAATGTATGAAAAAAAAAAACTTTTAATAAATAGTGTAGAGATCCGGAGATTCTTTTTTTACTGGAAACGAGGCATTCCATCTTAGTCATCAGGGGTGACAACGCATCTGAGTACATTTATCCTTGATCCTTAATCGAGGATAAATGTAGATGTCTATGGGTCACGGCATCGACTTACCATTAGGTGGTCTGTGTGCTATTTTGCCGCCCTTCTTCTAGTGCCAAGATATATGGTATAGAATAATTCGAAACCGACTTTCAAATGTGAAATTATTTTATTCTCTTTAGTTCTTTAAAGTCGGCTTTTACTATTGTAGTAGCTCAATAGCCAGAACTCTTGAATCTCCTTACTTTTTGCCGTTACAGGTTACTAAAGTCCACAGAACATGGGCCTACCCCATAGATTGCCTCATAGGGGCATGTTTTTTTTTGTCTCCCTCAGTCGCCTCTTATTGCTATTTGCTATTACTTAATACACCTATAGGATGATTTGGGGTAAATATTCTCACGCCGCCACTACACTTGTGTGAAATACGTGTTATATTTTCCGTCTCGCTCGTTTTTAGCTTCAATTTCAACGAAATAATTGATAAAGTTTTGTCCTATAACCTTGTCTTACGTAGTTTTATTACCTTAAATAAGTAATTTATATTCGTTATTACTTAATAAAAATATTTTTAAAGTACATAAATGATAATCATTCAATCGAATGCGTCTTTTAATTTAGAAATAGCTTGGTAACGATGACCTTTCCCAGGGGTTATTAAATTATAAATATTTAAATTACTTAATATTATAATAATCATTTTTGTACAAACTTAGTTAAATAAAGTTTTTCAACTTTGTGCAGGTCTTCTAATACATCGCCCCAAGAATGAATTACTGACTCGGTGGAGTCGAGTAACTGGTATTACTAGGTTGTGTGTGTTCCTAGTATTTACAGAATGAATATCACTTACTTTTGTTTCTGTGTACGTACATTTACATTTTGACAAATGTATTGAGAGACTTAAGTTAATTTATTAATTTCCTTTTAACATTTTGTCTGAGCGACTCTTTAGGTTTTAAGTCATAGATTATTCTTATGATCCTATGTGATGATGATGATGATGTAAAACAAATATAATTTCAGTGTCATTAGCATATCCCCATAGCAAAATACCATACGAAATTATGCTATGGAAATAGCTAAAGTAAACTTGTCTAGCTGTTGCCACACTGATAAGATAATATTTTGTCTGAGCAACTCTTTAGGTTTTAAGTCATAGATTATTCTTATTTTCCTATGTGATGATGATGATGATGTAAAAAAAATATAATTTCAGTGTCATTAGCATATCCCCATAGCAAAATACCATACGAAATTATGCTATGGAAATAGCTAAAGTAAACTTGTCTAGCTGTTGCAACACTGATAAGATAATAGAACCAGAGTTACTTCAGACCGGATGTAAGGAATAGTACTTAAAAGTCTTACATAATTATATTATATATAAATATTAAAAGATTTTATAACATCCTTAAAAAGCTAGTAATTAAAATTGGCCCACAATTGCTGAAGATATCGCGTAACATACTACATACATACAATAAACATACGGTCGAATTGGTAATCTTCTACTTTTTTGAAGCATATAAAATCATTAAATGTATAAATATTTAATAAATGTTTCTTAAAAAAACAAAGAACAGTACAAAGTTTAATATTTAAATGATATTATGAATACAATTTTAAACAAAATGAACAATAAAATATACTTACTGCAAATGGCAGGTCAAGAAACATAAAATATTCTTATTTGTTACAAAATAAGAATATTTTATGTTTCTTCTATTCTTATTTTGTAACTGGTTGTTTAAGATGATCTCGTTATACATACCCTAAAGTGAAGTTCACATCCAATCAACAACTCTATTTTACGAGAAATAATATATTAAAGTCGTTTTAAGTCAAGACATTAAAAAACTCATCATAGCTGGCACAATAACATGTCTTAATTGACTGGACTTTTATTGTTTTGTGTGAAATACGTGTTATATTTTTTGTCTCGGCCGTTTTTAGATCTATATCTCAACGAAATAATTGAGAAAGTTTTGTCCTATAACCTTGTCTTACGTAGTTTTATTATCTTAAATAAGTAATTTATATTCGTACTTATTTAGTAAAAATATTTTTAAAATACATAAATAGTAATCATTCAGTCTGATGCGTCTTTTAATTTAAAATATCACTTGTGCTGTACCTTGATTATAATGTACAAAATCCGATCGGCCGTGCCTTGTAGCAGGGGAGTTGAGAAGGGCCGTAATAATGATGGTGATAAAAAATTATACACATTTATATCTGATGGGAAGTTGATGAAAATACACTGAGAATATTCATAACATCTAAACCAAATAACGGAAAGTTTGTGCAATCAATATTTATTTACTTATGAAACTATTATTTTGCATCGGCACGGCATCGTGATTGTCGCGTGAACACTCCATTGTTTTCGCTAGTCTAATTTTGGAAAAATTTATTCACTATTTGTCCGCGGCGAAGATATTTTAAAAATGTAAGGGAATGAGACAGAATAGGTGATTTCTTTATCGCGCTATCACACCGTTAGGGTTTTATAATGACTTACGTAATTATTCCAAAATTCATACAAAGAATTTTAGTGAACTCTCCTATGTCAAATACTATAAATTATAAAATAATTAATTCTTTATCGTACCAAATTGTAGTAAGTGTAATGAAATTCCTTCCTGCGCTTTTGTGCTTTTTACTTAGGTTTGAGTTATAAAAATAGACTTAATAATAAGTTACTTTTAGATTATTAACTACAGAATATTGCAATAAATATTGAGAATACATAAATTTACAAAAACTAGTAACAAGCTGAGCAGTGATGAGTTATAGGTTATAATATACATACATTGTCCTTCAACAATTCTTTATATTATGCCGGCTGTACACGCTCGTCGAGACACCACGAGACATGCCTAGAGGTGAGCAATATTTAACATAATCGGTTTCAGAAACTGCTTACGAGCTTGATAATCGTATACCCAGTTTCGCGGACAAAATGTAATGATTATTTTACGTACGCAGTTGACACACACCACGACCGTCGCTCGCGTAAGCGTTTCGTTTTGAACAGATTATTATTAAGATGAATATAGTTGGGTACGCAACACGATATACGACTCGCACGAGAGTAAAGAGTCCCTTCGGGTTAGTTAATGACTTACACGCAAGATGTGGATCATAAAAATTATGTGATGTGATGGACAATAATACTTAGGCACTTACATATTTTGTGACTATAAAATTTTACAAAAGTACTAATATTGACGATGTCACGCGTATATTATAATTATAACACCTATAAAATGTTATATATTCGTAATCATAATCATAACATAACACAGTTAAACTAATGTTAGTACACCTACATAACTTGTTAATATTTTCGTAATCATAACCTAACACAAACACAAAACTAACCTACGCTATACTGTATTGTATACAGATGTATGTAGCGTTGCCAGGCGTCCGGATAAAGCCGGATACAGTCAGGCTTTTTGTTTGCGTGTCCGGCCAAATTAGACGGTGTCCGGGCCTGTCCGGCATTTGTCAGGCTTTTTATATTTGACCATTTTTTTACATTTTTCATGAACTTAAATACATACTATTGCAATTATTGAAACTAATATTGTAATGAATATTGAATGATTAATAATAAAGAACACTGATTATTTTAATTTAAGATTTTATGGTAAATGATATAAGGTTAGTATCGTTTTACTTTAAAAAATATATTATCGTGTTGTACTAAGACTGAATAATTAAGGGTGTCCGGATTTTTTACCAAAATGTCCGGCTAAGCTGGATGGTCTGTTCGGCTTCTCGGTTTAAAGACCTGGCAACCCTAGATGTATGTAGCTCATGGCGGCTGAACACGCTCGTCTCGTCGCCTCGTGTGCCTCTCATCACGTAAAGGCTCGACACGAGAACACACCATGTACACACTCGTATCATTTGAAGTTTGAACTCCATATACCC